CATCCTGATAAGTATAAATTGGCATTTCATGGTTTTGATTTACATTTCCCTGATGATGAATGATATTGAGCATCTTTTCATTTGCTTTTTGGCCATTTGTATATCTTCTTTGGATAATGGTCTATTCATATCCTTTACCCACTTAAAAATTGGCTTATTTTTCTTTATTGAAATGGAACAACTCTTTAAGTATTCTGTATACATATATGTGATTTGCAAAAATTTCTTCCATTCTGTGGGTCCTTTGAAGCACAGAAGTTTTAATCTTGACAATATCTAATTTATCTGTTATTTCCTTTGTTGATTGTGTTTTTAGTGTCATACCTAAAAAACCATTGCCTAATCTAAGCTCACAAATATTTCTGCCCACATTTTCCTAAAATTTTTATAGATTAAGCTCTTACTTTTAGATCTGACCCATTTTGGGTTAATTTTTGTATATGGTATGAGATAGGAGTCCAACTTCCTTCTTTTGTATATGGATGCCCAGTGGTGCCAGAACCATTTATTGGCAAGTAATTAACTTTTCTCATTAGACATATGTTTACCATGTAGCTCAAAATGGTAAATGTCAATATTATGTCAAAAGATGTAGTTTGTTATGTACAAGAATGGCTCTTCTTATCCAGTTCCATATTTCCTTAATGACACCATCCCAGCAGAGCCCTTCAAAAGTTTGTTTCTCTGTGTGTGTGCTTGGGAATGGTGGCATAGATGTGGAGCATGAGTGGATTTTGAAATTCACATAAAACCTTTATTTATTGAGTGTATGTATGTGTCTGGCATTGTACTAGGCCTTGGGAATGCAAAGGTAGGCCTGCTACAGAGTTGAGTTTCAGTAATAATTGTTGAAGGACTGGAGAAAATTGGGAAAGAATATGTGGTCTCTGCTCTCTAGAAAAATTATCTAGAAAAACAATAGAATATGACATGCTATAATGGTGGCATAACCTGTGAAGCAAGTTAAGAACACAGAGAGTTGAATATATAGTTAATCCAACTGATTAAAAAAGAGTTGAAGTGGAGAGCACCTTGCAGATTAGAGGATAGTGTTGCTACAGTTTTGTGTTATTATTAAAATACAGAAGAAAAATTAATTGTAGCCATTTGATTCTCATCTTCAATTATGACTCCTATTCATTTACTCTTAGGCAGAATAGGTTTTTTTGCTTTTAATACTGTATAAAACTACAGAGGAAACAGCTTAGAAAATCAAAGATTTAATTTCACTTTAGTGTTCATGTTATACTTCTCTAATAAATGGCTTTTAGTAAAAGGACAGCAGTTTGAAAATTAATCACTATTTATTCCTTTTTACAGTATCTTCCAAGCTCCTCCTCATTGTTCCCATTTGGGAGCAGATGAGTAAATAAATGTTACTTCATATTTATTTGTTTTGAGCTCATATAAAATTCTTGTTTAGTTTTTTGGGCTGAACACTAGGTAAATGGTACAAATTACAAGAATACCATTCCCTAAAGATTAAAGCAATTGATTTTTTTAGCTTAATATGTAGTTTATCAATTTTGAAAAAGATTGCCTTTTAAAAATACTCAGTTTTGTAATGTCATCCAGTATTTTTGAGATCATCTAAATTTGAGCAGTAAGCACTTGGCATTCTGAAAAATCATGCTGTGGGTTGTGATTTCTAAGCTAACAGAAAATATACACTGTTTAATTCTATCTACTATTTCCTGCAAGGTGAAGAATGATATTATTTCTTATCACTGAACAGCTATGAAATTTGTTGGTTCTAGTATAAGCGTAGCTCAGTCTGTCCTGACAGGTTTGTACTATTACACATTTGTACAGGAACCAGTACTCTAATTCTATTTCCATGTATTTTATTTCACACAATTGTTACAAACAAAAAGAAAATCCAAGTCTTTGTTGTCTGAGAATGGAATCTTTGATAGATACGTGAATTTGCTTTGAAGTCACCATTGATCCTTTGTTTTGCTACACTTTTGAGCAAAAGAAAGAAATCTATTTATTTTGAATGAATTAATACCTAAATATATTTATTAAGCTACTTTTAAGCTGACTACTCTTGACTTCTTATTACTTTCACAAGAGAAATGAATCCTGTGAATCCTAAATGCATATAGTATATAATGCTTATTTTCCTGTATATAGAGCCAAAGTGAATCTTTGGTGGACATTTAATATGAGAATATCAGAAATAGAAGGAACCTAGGAGACTACGTAGTTCAAATTTTCTAATTTTCTAAATAAGGAAATGGAGCCCCAGAGAAGTGACTGAATTGCTCTGGGATTAGTAGAGTATCAGTACAAACAATAGGTCCTCAAACAAAAACAATATTCTGCCTGTAGCTTGATTGACTCTCTTGAATATGAAGGAGTCCACTAGATGAGGTGGATATCACTCTGTATTTGACTCCTCATACATTTGACAATTTTATAACTGAGAAAACACAGTCCAATCACCATGTTACACAAATGGTCCTCTTCATTAAGTCTCCATCGAAAACTCCCATTTTAAAAGTACCTTTCCAGAAGAAAATTTGTCACACTTCTTTGATTATCCATTCTCATGTTTAATAGCCATCATTCTCAGAAAGATTTCCTTATGTCAGAAGGTTTCAAATTTGGAGTCCATTAATTCCTAAGGCATCAACATAAAATTATATATAAAATTTTAGTTTAAATTGTTTGTAAATTTATCAAAGAACCCTAACCAAAATCACCCTGAATTTTCTGTCTGCAGTTTAGCCACATTTCTTTTTGCCCTATATTCCTTGGAAGAAAACTTGCTGTTCTCCATGTTATAACTCCCCATTAATATGGAAGTTATTACTCTTTCCAAATGAAGAATTTCAGATCATTTTAACTTTTCTCATAGGCTTTTTCTTTGCCCCAATTCTAAATCATTTTTATGTCTGCCTTTTGAACACTTTCCAAATTCTTTGTAAACCTGAAAGCCAAGGAACTCAGAATTAGATATCCTATATTAATGTACATCTAGTTCTGGAGTTTGGATATGCTGACAGCAGTGTCAGAAGGTTAGGAGCAGCAGAAGTAAGACTGCTAAAATTGCCAATATGGGCCCAGGAATATGGCACCCTACTAAGGTAACCTAGGCAGATGCTCAAGGTCAAAACAGAGGGCAAGGGGTCCAGGTAAAGATTAAAGGGTTACACAGATTTCACAGTTCAAAGCTTTGTAAGTAGATCCTCAATAAAGGGTGTCAGGATAAGGAATAAGAATCAAGCTCACACCTGAAGGCATGAAACAGAAACCTGCAGAAAATCTGCATATGAACAAACTACCTTTTAGTAAAATCAATCCAAAGGCCCGATATTGAGACTACTCTTCACATGGTGACAGGCTGCTGGTCCTTGCAATATAAATACTTGTCTCTCAGATTTCCCTTCTCCCTGCAACCTCTGCAGTCACACTAGCCTCAGGATGTTATATTCTGAGAATTATGTTCCCAAGAGGTATGACTAATGGAAATAGCAGGGTGGGGCCTATAAACTATAATAAAAAGTAGGTTAACAAAATCATTGGGGTTGAGAGGGCTTATAGACTCTTCTGGGAATCTAATGAAAACTGTGGACTTTCTCTCCAGAAGGAAGACACCAAATATATCACGTAAAACAACGTTATACATTTTGACCTTCTCTGAAACTCATTCATGGTTAATAATTCCCAAAAGATATGTGTGGTATTCTGTATTTCTTATCCACTTATTTCCTGTCCTTTATTACTATATTAATGTTTTATATAATTGTTTCAGGTGCTGAGCTAAGCTAGGAGTTTTGAGCATATAGTTCCTATATGTGAACCAAAAGATGAAGGGGGTGGGGATAACAGCAACACTAAGGCCATGGCACTGGTGACAACCATAATCAGGGAGAGCTCTCTGGGGGCATGGTGAGTTTGAGAGTTAAGAACTGTGCTGAACAAGTCTGCATCCCTTTCTCATTGGATGATTCTTCCTCTGTTCCTGTGCTAGGATCTAGGTTTTATTTTACTGGCTAAGAAGCAATTCCTTTATGAATCATGGAAAGATACTAATACTGAGCAAGTAAGTTGTTGTGGTTCCTGTTAGAGCAGCACCCAGTTCCCAAGACTGACTGGCCTAAGTCCTCAGGCAGTGGGTGAGACCTTTGGCCACAATAGGGTGAGAGGGTAGAGCAGAAGAGTGGCTTCAGTGATAGAGCCTGAACTTCACTCATGGCAGTTGGTGACTCTATTTACTTTACTCATCTAATGTCCAGTGACAGACCCTCTGACTCTATTTTGAGGTCTTAAATATATAAGGTTGAATTTAGAGAGTAATTATCTGGATAATTCAAGTTTAATAAAACCTCATTTAGCAAAAATTTTATGTACCTGAATTATCCAGTTAGTCAATGTTTATATTATATATCACTCAGAAAAGAAAAAAAGTTTTTTTCTAAAGTTGTATCAAGTTGTTTGGAAGAAGGGATTCCCAGATGTGTAAATAATTGTTTAATTTAAACATGTATTAAATGTGTAAGAATCTAGTTTCCATCTTTTGCTTTAACTGTTTTTTTCTCTTTTTACCTGATCTCTTCAAATCCTGACTTTCCCTGAAACCCAGTTGGGGCCTACCCTGCCAGTGAAAGAGAGATAGTAGCACCTGCTTGAGGACATTTTGGAGTATAAATGAGATAATCTAGTCCTGCATTTAGCATAAGGCCTGGAACGTAATAAGCAATTTATCTATTAGCTGCAATTGATTATAATGGTTATGATGATGCTTTTCGTAAATACTCTGATCAACATTTAGTCTCTTTACCTTGTGACCATAAAAAGTACTTACTGCCTATGCCACTTGGGACACATACTATCCTGGTTCAGATGTTATTATTTTGTCCCCATAATGAGACAGCACACTCTTTGATAGGCCAGGATAGACAATGTAAAACTTGACTAAACAGGATTGAAAACTAGCATGTACTTACTTTACAAGCCACGTGGTCTTCAATTTGATTTTTTTTCCTCAACAGAAAATGAAAACACTAGCAGAAAGGAGAAGGAGTGCTCCATCTCTTATCCTGGATAAAGCCCTACAGAAACAGCCTAGCATCAAGTAAGTGAAAAACTTTGTATTACACATTTGGTATGTGCTTTTCTTTTTCCTTTAATGTGTGTGGATATTTGTTTTTCTTTTATCATTCTCTGTTTAATAAAAGAAAATAATGACTTCTAAGGTTATTTAATAAGGTATATCCTTTATGTGAATCATAAAGCCTTCCTGAGCTAGTATATGTCATCAGTTACTTTAAAGCTGATTCAGAACTGAATCTCACATCACATCGTACAAAATATGCAGGTTTCATACGTTGTTTATTTATAGAAACAATTATAACTTAGAATACTAAAAAAATAGTTATTTTAACTACCGTACATGTTTGGTTATGCATTAACCTTTGCTTTTTATCTTAAGATGATGCCTGTGCATGAGTATATAAGACAAAGTTTTCCCAGTTTTAGATATAAAAAAGATAACCAGATTAAGATTATTAAAAAATATAATGTTGATTTCTTTTAGGTGTTATTGGTTAAATTAGTAAACTAGTGAAATTTGAAGTAAAAAAATAGGTCAAATATCTATTAAAATAGCCATTTCACCTGCTGAACCTAAATACTATTTCAATGGACATTTAAGAAAGTCTTTCATAATGTGTAGAAATTGAATGGATAATTCAATCATTAAACGGCATTTTAACTCAGAGGAAATTTTATGTTTAAAGGAACACTGATGATTTTCCTCTAATCTATGAATATTTTTATGTCAAGTGAAATTCTTATAACTTTTATTTCTATGAATGATGTGTTAATTTAACATAAAATCTACATGAAGGTATGGCATTTTTTTCAGTGCTGAAAATAAATTATATAACCATATCCCAATTAGTGGAACTTTCAAAACACTTAGGTCACTTTCTTTTTTCTACTCCGCATATTCTCAGACTCAGGCAGCTCTTCCACCTGTCCATCAAAGACACACACTTAAGTCAATGGGTTGATCAGAAAATATAAATTACTTTCAATAGATTATTTAATAGCCTAATCAAAATTTAATGAGGAAGATATTTTTCTGCCAAGTAAGTAATATGGTAACACATTTTAGTGTCATATATAAATGACTTTTGGATTATTTGCATTAGTGTACCTTTGTATTAGTGTGAATAAAAGAATGGTTATATTTTCACAGTTGGATGTTGATTACCTAGAAAACTCAAGAGAAAGTACTTTTAGGGGAAGTAGAGAGAAGAGGCAGAATTATCAGTACACCTGTCTTTAGTTCTACAGTATATGTAAAAATAACTTCATTACCCACTTTTTAAAAAAACTGATAAACAATTTAGATTAAATTTCTTATTGGAAGCTTCTGGAATAGACATGTACTAGGCTTGTCAATTAAAACTAACGCTTATATTAGAGAAGTTTAAGTCTGAGATCAGGGGTCAGTAGTGGCCCACCTACCCCCTTTCCCAGGGCAAGAATCTATATCAGTATGCATGTAGGTATTTAAAGCTCGTATAAACCAGTGGTTCTCAACAGAGTGGTATAAACCTCTATGGGGCATTTTGGAATTTTGTGGAGCATTTGCGTTTGTCTCAATAATTTAGTAGGCAGTGGCCAGAGATGCTACACATCATGTAATATATAGAATATTGTAACAAAAAAATTTTGTGGTTCCTGCATGACTTTTGAATATCCTGTGTATGGGATATTTGAGAAGGGAAAAAAATTGTATAATTATCTATGCCTGTAACCTAACTCTGTTTTTTATATAAATGTAAAGTAATTTTACATACTTTTGTTTTAATGAACACTAAATTTTCTAGAAATGCAACTGCCTTGCATATCAAGAAATAAGGGTACTTTATATTGTTTGGAACCATTTTGGAAAATCACTTGGCATTACTTCATTTTCCTGTACTTGTTGCATGGAATGGTTTCTTATCATCCTACTTCTGTTAAATGTAAATATGTTAATTAAAAGGTGTAAGCATGTGACTACTTCATTTTCCTTTAGTGTAGTCACATCTGCACATATGGACATTGAAAGATATGATAAATTACTCTCATTTTATTTTCTTTTATATTACTGTTGTTTTATTTTATTGATACTTCTGAAATTCTGTAAATATCTGTGAATTTTATTTGAGCATAGAAAAGTAGGATTTGAAATGACTGTATATGTGCTGACTTGTATATAATAACAAAGGGACATTGGGTCTAGTAGGATTGAGGATGACTGATGAAGTGCCAGGTTAGGGAAAATACTAACACTAACCTCACTTACTGGGATTATTTTGAGTTAGAGAATCAATATGATAATATACAACTGTATCCCTCCCTACTCTTTCCTCTCCATCACCACTGCAATAATTGGTGTTTATATTAGAGCCAGTTAGCCAAATTCTCGCTTCAGAAATAGAAAAATATGATGATTTTTTGTGTCAAAATAACTGCAGGAAAAAAAGTTGAAATTATATATATTTTAATCTTCAGTTTATTTCCTATGAGTTTCTCTAGATAAGTAACATGAGTGCACAATGCTAGGAAAAAGGACCTTTCCCTATCATAAGAAATAGTACTTTTACTCTACGTTGTGTTGGGTCATTAATGTACATACACAAAAAAATCTGTTGGGTGTTGAAGTGCACAAAATAGTTGTAAGTAATGTAATCTCAGGACTGGAAAGAACCCTAAAGGTCATCTAGTGTTGTTGGTTTCTGAAACTTCCTGAGTCAGTATTCTGCAGTGGGGCCCAGGCATCTGCATTTTTCAAAATCTCCTCATAGTTTATTCTGATACACTCTTGGAGAAGAACTACTGTGGCAAGCTACAAAAGAATCTTTTCTAAAAAATCCTTTAAAAATAGAAATATTAAAATGGAATTTTAAGAAAGTACAGAATTGTAATATGTATTTCTCTTAAAACACACAAGTGGACATTATAAAACAACAAAGTTCTCCTTCCCCAGTGGTACGGTAACCAATATTAATCATTTGTATGTCCTTCTAAATCTTTATGCAATGTTATTAATCTATGAAAATGTTATTAGAACTTAATTTGTTTTTCCTGATGTTTAAATTCTCACATTTGCATAGATGTTACTAGTTCTTTCCATTTTCAAGTCTTGTAGTTTAGAGATCAGACCCTATTATAACAACCATTCAAGAAGGTCTTTGCATTTTGTCTATCTTTATATATACATGTTCCTGAAAAGTTGCATAAATAAGATTTTTATTATTATTAGTGAACTTGCTATTTTACAGAAATCCTATGGTAAATTGTTTTATAGTGAATCATTTTTTTCCAAAGTTGTTAAAAATAACTCAGATTTTCATAATTAAAATTTTGCTTTTCTATTATTTATACCCAAGAAACAAAAAATTTCTACAGTCCAAGCTGAAGGCTGATAGCACACCTATTTCTGATAGCACAAAATTGTAGAACTTTATACAACAAACTTCTACTACCTAAAAAGAATCTTCACTAACTCTTTTCATGGAATACCACAGGAACTAACCTGTAAAAAAATCCATGTACAGTGTGGGACAGACAGCAAAGAAACACAAATATTTTATTTATTATCATTGCATATTTCTTGAATTACACCCATATTTGATTTTGGCTTCCTGTTAGAAACTTATTATTTCTACTGTTGTCCCCTAGTTAAGGTGTTACTTAGTAATTAATGATCTGTAGATGATAAATCTATTGTTCAAAATTTAGTAGACATCCATAGAGGATTTAAAAGAATACTTTCATTTAATAGTTATTGTATCTCAATTTTTATTGAATCTAATTAACATTAGCTAGGTTTAAAAGAAAAGGAAAAAGGTTAACTGACACATTAATGTGTTTATGTATTAAACAGTTTTATTTTCAATGGTTTTGATCAACACATAGAGTAGGTAAGAAAAGAGACAGTTTGAGGAAAAGATGGCGGTGTGAGTAGTGTGGAGGAAATCTCCTTCCAAAACTACATACATTTTAAAAATACAGCAAATACAACTATTCCTAAAACAGTGACCAGAAGTAACAGTACACCAGCCAGTGTACTTCTGCAAGAAGTCAACATCTCATGGAAAGGCATAAAGTACAAAGCCGTGACCCAGCAGGACCCAAGCCCTCCCCCACCCCAGCTCACTGGTGGGAGGAAAAGAATCAGAGTGGGGAGGGAATGGAAGCACAGGACAGCTAAATAACCAGCCCTAGTAATCTGCCCCAGGAGCACAGACAGACATTGCATGGTGCTCTGGATACTAGATGACCTGAAAAGCAAAGTCTGAGAATAAGACTGCGAACAGGTTCCCACAGCTGGCTGCCCTGGGACAAAAGAAAAGCAGGTGCTTTAAAAGTCTTTAAGGGACAAGGGTTTAACAGGTGGACAAAATCATCCTGGTATACTCAGCCCAGCAGGCTGGGAACTTTCAGAAGCTTTAGGCACCTATCCTCCTGGTTGGGAATGCAGCTCCTTCCTCTGCACTGGCACCTGTGTGTGAACTGGCTGTCCACGCCATTGCTGCAGACCAGCTGGAGGGCAGCCCTGTCTACAGAAACCACAAGGCTTAGTGCAGGGGCTTCTCCATGCGCCCGGCTAACTGGCCCTGACCTACAAGCTGCTGCCTGTGTGCAGTTGACCTGCACGGACAGCTGAGATAGGCAAGAAGACTGGGAGGCACGAACGGGCTTTGTTCTCATGGCAGAATACACACTGCTGGCCTTTGACCCCTGCCAGTGCCCTAGGCCATCCAAAAGGGCCAACCTACCCACAGCAGCTCGGAATTAACCCAGAGGCTACTCTCTGCACACAGTTGACTGGCACAGAGAGTGGAGATGGGCACTGAGAAGAGGAGCCACAAAAAGGCTTTGTCCTCTTGGCAGACACATGTGCTGCTCACCTGTGACCCCTGCTATTGCCCTAGACCATCCCAAGGGCTGTCCTGCCCACAGAAGCTTAGAAGATTAACCCAGAGGCTGCTCCCTGTGCACAGTTAACTGACACAGACAGTGGAGAGAGGCACAGCAACCAGCAAGGAGGAAGGGACTTGGTTCTCCCAGCTG